GAATGCCCTTTCTGATTCAATCGATGTGGGTGGAATCGTTTTTAACGCATTTAACAGAAGACAGATGTTGTGTGTTTTTTCACCTGTAGCCTCAAAGATTTCTATTTCGTTCTCGAGACGCGTTTCAGTACTGCTTTTGTTGTCCACTTTTCTTGATCTGTCTATCTCAGCTTCTTTGATAGCAGCATCAAGCTTTTCAGCTAAAGTCATTGCAGATGAGCTTGCGACATCTGGTAGTTGATCTGTATCACCGGAAGTAGAATCAGTAGATACTCCAAAAAGACGATCTAACATCTGTTTTGCTGATAAAATTAACATAGTCTTGGTTGGTAAGGCTGGCAAACTTTTTTCACTTGGGAAAGTTGAAACTTTTCCATAATTCTTTCCACTATTGAGATATTGTATGAGGCCAGTCAGTTTTACATTTCTTCTCTCTGCTATGCGTCGAATAAACGACTCTTTTAGTCTTCTTGAAAAAGGTGTGTTTAGTTGATTTAACTCATTTATAATAAAAGAAAAAATACCTTCCGATGAAAGTAAAGTCGATCCTCTGTTGCCAAGCTTTTCTGCTCCAGCTTTTAATGGCTGCAGTGATGCCACGATGTCACAAATTACAGTAACTTCTTGTTTGTCAAGATCAAAATTGTCCATATCTTTATTACAGTCAATGATTGCTTTCGATATGGATGATCTTATTTTAATAAATCGCTCTAACATGGCTAAAAGGCTATTCCATAGGGTTTTGGAATCCAGAAATAAGTGCAAATTTTTCCCATGTTCCTGTTCAACGTATTTTTGTAAGATGTTATTCTTTAAAGGTGATTTGCGAAAAAATTTTGCTATTTTTCTAACCTTATTAATGATTTGAGAACAGACGATTTCATTACCTAGTGTGTCATGTAATTCAAATGAAATATCTATATCGAAAGGATCTTCAGCCAAACGCTCACACAAAACACTTTCAAAATCAATACTATAACTAAAGTCTTCTTCATCTTTCTCAATATCGTCATTGCGCTCTTCATCTTCAGTTTGAATTTCTTCAGAAAGAGGGACTGCTACTGAAGTGGTTGACTTTTGGTACAAAACATCACATACCGCTAAATGAATTCCGTGTGCATAACATAACTGATGCTCACATTCAATTAACCTTCCAAATTTCACCATTACAGCTGCACCATCAGTAACACAAGCCACCACGTGTTTTTCTAAAGATATGTGAAATTCTTTTAACTTTTCTTTGATTACTTGGACAGCAGTTTCTGCAGGTAGAACATTGGAAATCTTCACCATTCCTAAGTTCCAAAATGTTCCGTCACTTTTGTGTATGTTTATATTTAAATACCGGCGATTGTTTAGTGAAGTATATTCATCCAAGGATAAACTAAACCTTGATCCTCCATTTATTTGGCTATCAATTTCAGAACATAATCGTTGTTTGATTTGTTTGTAATGCGAATGGATGAGATCCATTACATCTGATGGATTTTTTGGTAAAGTGTATCCTCTGTCTGTCAATGATTTTCTGATGAACTCACTTTTTGTAATAGAGTTGATAGAGATGCCATCTAAAGTCGCAAGTTTTGTTACTATTTCTTCACACGTTTCTTTTTTAATAAAAAGCGATGGTAAGGTTTGTTGAGAGGCTAATCGCTTACTGCTAGTTTCTCCAGTTTCCTCGGCTGTACGCTTAGTACTAGTGACAGATAATTTGTCAATATTATGCTTGTTACGCAGATGTCTGATAAGGCCGCTTGTTGAAAAACCTTTACACTTTATCTGTGTTTTACATTCATTACAGGTTGCAAATTCTTGTTTCAAATCCTTAACGAAATATTTCCAAACAAATGATTCTGACATTCTTGATTAAAGGGATTGGTTACGAACAAAATAAATTATAAATTATAACGTAGTATAAATGTAGATAATAGGCGATTACAGGAAAATCCTTGAGTTAACTCGCAGCTCACAAATTCACAAAAGGAAGTGTGACATATGCACAATTTATAAATAATTTTAATTTCAGTTATTCACATCAGATTTGTTAAATTTTACAGGATTGTATTATCTTTCAACTTTAGGGGAGTAAAGCTTTTTTTATTTTCTCCCGCGAAAGTAATAGATTCTACTAGTCCCCCACTTTGAACGACAACAAAGTGCTAATCGTTTTATTACTTTGTTTTCAAAAACTCCCTTATCTGTCAGTAGTGAGTTAAATGACTAACAAATTGTTTTTGCACTCGGGGGAATGTTTTCTTTTAAATTTAACAACTAGTATTGACAGTAATGAAGTCTATAATTTT